GTTGGATGGTGACACACCTAGAGACACAGCTGATCTGGCAGGTTTTGCATTGCACACAAAACTCAGTGGCTGTCAGGAGCACACAGGGAGCTTGCCAAGGCCTCAAGGAGCTTTTGGACATGTGCTGAAGATAAACTGTGCAAATAAAGTCACTGGAATATGGAATATCTGCACATGTCTTAGATGTGTAGGTTGCAGGAATATTAAATAGCTGCACATGTCTTAGATGTGTAGGTTGCACTCCCCTGCTGAGGTGCAGGACCCAGAGGGTCAGTGGCACCAGGCTGTGGCCACAGGGAATGCCAGGACTGGGCAGTGGCAGTGACCAGCACAGAAGGTGGTTTACACTTGCACTACTGCTGGTCCATTAGTAAGGGACCTAAAATAACACCACTTTGATCAAGGCTGTTTCCCACTCTCTGCTGACACACTTTGGGAGTGGTTCTTGTTCTCTAACCTTGTGTTTGGGGTGGCAATTTGTTCCCTACCTGCTCCCATACATCCCCAACTGCTGAAAGCTGCAAACAGCAATATCAGCTGTTTGTCTTCTCCCCTCCAAGCACTTTTGGGAGCAAGTAAACCACTGATCCTGTGCTTGGGTGACACAGTTGTACACACCTGTGGGCAGGTGCAGTCTGCAGCATCCTTGGGCAGAACAAATGGTTGTGAAAAAGTCACTCCTGGAAACCACAGCAGGAGCAGGAGGAGAAAGAGTCTTCTGAATCCCACAGCTCTGGAGTGCTGTGCCTCCTAAATAATGAGTCACTTTTCTCTGGGTGCCACTGAGTAATGGTCAACTGAGCCAAAGGACACATGGAACAGTTTAGCTGAAACACAACTGAAACAGCCAAGGCTCCAAAGGCAAACTGCAGTGCCAGTGACAATTTCATGTAGCACATCAAATTAATGGTGACAGAGACTCCTCAGAGCCCTGGCAGATTGGAAATTGCTCGATGCAGCAGCAGCAGCACAATGATAACTCAGTTAATCTTCTGCAGGGAAACGATAGCAGAAGAAATGGCTTTTAGATTAGCTGTCATTAGAGTGAAACATCTGCCCCTGCAAGTCAAGTGGAATGTCCTCACTTAGGCACAGGGAAACTCATTAAAGTTCCTGGGCCTGCATGGCTGGAAGCCAGAGCCACTCTTCCAGCAAGGCCCAAACCTGGGGAGCACAATGGACTAGGCTGGAAGTCAGGAAGGTGAATTCCCAGGAGATCTGACAGCTCCAGAAGCAGTTGCAGAAGTTGTCTGATGTGTTTAGATTCTCTTATTACCTGGGAGCACATAGCAAAGTGGAATAGGAAAAATAAAGGAGAGTGATAGGATTTTAAAGGAAATTCAACCTTTTGAGGTCACAAAAACTCAAAGCTTAGCTCTGTCTGAACTCTGAGGAAAAGCTTCCAGATGAATATTCACCTCCAAACACTTTGCCATCATGTCTGAGCTGTTCTTTGCCTTGTGGACTGCAGAGCATGAGCTCAGGAGAGTTTACTTGTCTGACTGTATTTGTGATGCAAATATTCTTACATCTGATTTTCCTTTCATGTTGAGAGGAACGTTGAGTTTTTCATAGAGGGAAGACTGGCAAGAGCAGTTTGAGTAGGAACATTCTCAGCCATGATTTCAGTTTTCTCTCACTATTCATTACCTGGTGATGATGTGTATCAAGGCTGTCTGTGTCCTTCAGGCTGCAGAATACTTTAAAGGAACAAAATTCGTGGAGGGAAAAGAGTTACTGGTTAGTGTCTGTCTACAGCTCAGAGTTGAATAAACTATGCTGCAGCATCTTGGTGCCAGTTAAGGGCAAAAAGTGCTCATTATTCAGTACTCAGGATTAAAATCAAAGTAACTGTTCCTGACTTTGAAAGGCAAGAAACTCAGTCCCACCTGTGCTCTGGGGGCAGAAAAAGGACTGTGCAGATAAGAAAAGCTGGAAGGTTACAGGGGGTTGGTTGCACAGCTAATGAATGAAGTTTCTCTCTGGAATGTTGATTTTGAGGTAACAGTATAACCAAAGAGCCACTGTTGCCTTTCCCTTTCATCCCAATCAAAGCAGGAGAGAAGTTCTCAGCATTGCTTTAATCTTTGTTTTCAGTAGTAGTTTCTGTTTTTCTCTGTGCTGTCACACTCCAAAAAACACTGGGAGAACTCACTTGGAGCAGTCAAAACAACTAGAGGAGGTTGTTCTTTGGCCCTCACCTTGTTTCCTTTCTGGTTGCACACTGAGCTGAGGACTCCCCTGCACAGGTGAGTCCCCATGGGTGTCTCAGCACCACCTTTGGGGTGTCCCAACTCTACCTGTCCCCACAGGAGGTGAAATCAGACACAGGAGAGCAGGCAAAGCCCTTCAGAACATGCCAGAGGCTGATCCCAGAGCTGTCCCCACAGAGGGTGAGGGATGAGTGCTGAGCACTGCAGAGCAATCACATTAGCATCTTGGCTGCTGCCTCCAGCCCCAACCTCCTGCTTGGGCATTGATCACTTCTTGATGAGTTCATGCTCCAGTGCTGCCTTTGGTGCAGAATATCCAGGAGGGTGAGGGATGGTACTTAGCAGCTCTGGCAGACACCCCTGGGAGAGATTATCTCCATTGTCTGCTCTGGCAAACTGAGACTGAGGATCTGGAAGTCCAAGGTGAAGTCTGGAGTCCAACTGGCTGTGTGACCCAGATAACAGGGCACGAGTCACAGATTGGATGTTTTGTCTCTGTTGAGCCTCATCCCTTATGTAATCTATTATTTTACTGTTCCCTGGGGCAGTAGAACAGTGTACTTGGCATTTGTGCTGCCTCACTGCCTGACACTGCTGCTGATCTTTGCAAATCCACTAGATTTTGGCCAGGACAGAGCCTTCCAGGCAGGAGTGGGTCAGGAGAGGATGTAACACACATGAGACTTCACTAACACGTCACAAAAGTTGCTTCTGACTGATCTTTATGGCTGGCACATAAAAGCAAGGCCATTTAATTGAACAGTATGTGTTGAAGATAATCTAATAACAGCAAGGAAACAAGTGATTATTATTCATAAGCTGCAAGTTATTTGAATATTTTTCACTAGGACTGAAATTAGTTCAGTTTAGCCAGGAAAAAACACTTTCTTCACAAGGGAGAGTTTATATAATTCTTCACAAGGGACAGTTTACATAATGCACAATAGTTGAAAAGAAGTCTGAAATCTGCAATTTGCTTTATTGTCATAACTCTCTTAGTTTGTTTCACTACCTGAAACTTTCTACCTCTGATCTTGCTGTCCCGTGGTCAGTGCCACATCCATTGCATATTTGTCACCTTTTTCATCTTCCCCTTATTCTTGCAGCCTCCCAAACAACCTAGAAAGCAACAAGAGAGTGGCAAATCCCCAAGGAGAGAGGAATCAGTGTATGCTGCAGCCTGATGCCTCTCGCTTCAGCTTTGCTTTCAGCTTTTGAAGCTCAGTACTTTTATCAATTTTCAGCCCATAGTCTGTGATTTTCCAGGCCTCTTCATAGTGCTGCATTTCAAAGTTAGACTGGGCAACCTTATGAAATGTCCTGGTTAAGACCTCACTGCCAGGGTACCTGGTGATGCTGCAGAGTGCCAGGGGCTCGTCCAGCTGCAGAGCCTCGATGTACTGCAGCACTGCTGCCTCCTCCTCGCCCAGGGACAGCAGCAAGTGGCCCTTGGAGCAGTGATCCTCCACACGTGTCCTCAGGCTGCTGCTGCTGTGCTTCTGGATCACTTTGTCCATGTCTCTCAGGGCTCTCTCGTAGTTCCTGAGGTGCATGAGACAGGCAGCTCTGCGCCGCAGGCACCTGGGGTTGTCCCTGCTGGCCAGGACAGCCAGAGTGTAATAACCCAGAGCCTTCTCAGGGTGATGCTCTTTGAGCTGCACGTTTCCTTCCTGGGCTGCTATCTGTGGGCAGAAAGTTATTTAGTGTTAGATACTGAACAGGGAAAAAAATAGGAAAATACTAGCCTGGAGTGGCCACAGGCAGACACAGACAGTAAGAGATGCTGGATTTTTTTTTGTGTTGGAATTGCATCTGCTCGGAGAACTTGGTGTATTATGGCAGAGGGTTGGAATGAGATGAGCTTTAAGGTCCTTCCAACCCAAACCAGTCCATGACACCATGAGATTTGATGTGCTCACAATGTAGGTTGGTCTCTACTAAAGTCTACCCAAGGTGTAGGCTGAAAGGGTCAACTGATAATTGATCTCGAGTGCAAATGCACTCACTGCTCTTGTCTGAAGGGAAAAACAAAAAGAGAAGAGAGAAGGCAGAAAGAGCCACATAATTTTTAGGTCCATGCAGGTCAATAAAGAAAACTCCATTAGAACTGTTTTCCTCAAATGGATTTCTCATTACTGCCCTTTATTGGTAATAAATAAAGCTTTTACCATGCTGCAGCAGAGTGAATACTGCACTTATAAACACACTGGCACCAGAGGCTGAGCCAAACAAGCTGAGGCTTGAGAGAAGGAAAAATGTTTTCATCATTCTCATATCATGGGGTAACATTTGCTTTTGGATACTTGTGGCTCCCCAAAATCGAGTTAGCCCAGCCACTGTGTCAGGAGCCACACTGGACAGCCAGGTCAGGTCTTCCAGGCTGGTTTTGTGCCTCTTTATTTCAGTTGGCTCAGATTAGAATTGATTGCTGTTCAGCAGAGCTGAGGAAAACAGGCTCAGCACGAAATGGATCAATATTGCAGGTCAAGTCCAAGCACCTCCTCTGAGAGAAGTGGCCTGAGATAATTTAGCCACTCCTAAGGGTTTATGAGGAATTCTGGCAGTTATTTAGTGACAACACATCTAATATAATGGTAACATGTGTATATTTTGCTACATAAATTCTCTATATAGCCATATTATTAAAGAGTCTCTCAGGTTCCACACAGAATTCTGGTGCCACCTGGAAAAGGCTCAGTTCTAAGGAAGTGACTGGTGATTGTGATTCCTGGGTGAGGTCCCTATGTCCCTTTCTTCCATTTGTTTATCTCACTGTGTGATTCAGGACTGAAAACACACAGATTTTTTGTGGCATTTTTGGTTCCAGTCCCTAGGGGCTAATCTTACGTTGCAAGTGACCAAGGTTCAGTTCCTTAGAAAGAAAAAGAATGAGGAGTTTCGTAGACATGGAATGATGGCCAAGGGTTAGTCTCTGAGCAGTAAATCCCAGAAGATGGAGGGATAAGCACTGAGCTTTGGGAGAGGGTTGGATGATTTCAGGACAGTTTGGAGCAAGTGTTGCCTTTTTCACCTGCACATGCTATGAAGGGATGTAGAATGGCAACTTCACCTTGGTTAAGGGCCTAATTCCAACACAGATCATAGACTTTGGAGAGCACTTTTGTAGGAGTCTGGATAACCTGTGGCATGTCCATAGCCAACAGAGATCAGTTCTGAGTTCCTTGTGAAGAGCTAGGAATGAGCCATGGATTTACCCTCTGACCTGGGAGACTGAAGGGCTGAAGCTGCACTAGCAGCAAGCAAACTCCCTTCCTCTGACCTTTTGGAGTTTAATCAATCCCTCAGATTGCTGTTCCCATGGGGCTCTCCCAGTTGTTTACAAATTTCTCAGCATGAGACCCCTTAGACTATAAATAATGGAAGAATTTGATTGCTTTGTTTGTTGTGAAAAGAACCGAGTACATCAAGGAGCTCTGTCCTTCCTCCACCCTTTCCTATTCAGCTTATGGAGAATTCATCTGGGCTTTTCAGACCAGGCTCCAGGATAATGAAGACACGTTTCTGTAATGCCTGTAGCCTCCAAGCACTAAAACAACGTGGCAGAAATGTGCTGAGACTGAGGGCTGAGTGTCAACCACCAAACTCTGCTTTGCTGCAGCCTCTTT